CGTATTTATTTTATTCCAGTTTTATAGCTAATTTATTTTTCTAGTTTCGAATTATTGCAAATTATTTCGAAATATTGCGAAATTTTTTTCGTAATATAGCGTAATATATTTCATAATATTCTGTAATTAAAAATTGCGAAATATTCCGCGTCGATCGTAATTATTGCAGAATTTTTCGGTCCATAATAACTTACGTAAGATTACGTTTATATAATTTGCTAATGTATTAGACAGATATTATTCAGATACTATTAATTAGCAATTATCTTATCTTGATATTATTTATTTATTTTTAGAGTATTGCTAATTTTAACCAGAGGGAAAATTACCAGTATGTAATTAGCCAATAAAATTGCAAGATCAGGTATAATGTATAAATTAATTTTGTATGACAAAAACAAAGAATTTTTTAAAAAATCGTGAATATCTAAAAATTTGCTTATGAAACCCTTTTGTATTCTAACAAAAAGATTTCTTGCTAAATTTTGCATATAATCTATGCTCTGCTTTAACCCTAATCATAAGTTATAACCCTTATCCTAAACTAAAAGAAAAAAATTTTTTTTAAAATTTGTTTATTTGATTTATATATTACACAAGCTAGCTATTTCCCCTTCAGTTAAATGTAATAATTCTCTTATTTTTATATAAAGTAGATATACCTAATTTGATGCAGTTTCTAATTTGACGCACAATGATTTCTTGTGAACTATCAATCAGAATCATATGATTTTGGTACCAATCGATTCATCTTATCGAGACGAATTAAATAGTATCAAAATCATGCGATCCTGATTATTAGTTCTCGAGATACACTATTTGGCCAAAATAGCCAAAAACAGGTTTATCTAATTTGATACAGGTAAACGTTTATGATCGATATTATATAATATCGATCATAAATATTTACCTGCGTCAAATTAGACACTACAACAAATTAAGAACATATTTTTGAAACAAACTTCAATGAACGATATCTTGTGATCCACTAATTAGAATCAGATGATTTTGGTACCATTCGATTTGTCTCAATGAGATGAATCGAATGGTACTAAAATCATCTAGATCTGATCGATGTATCATGTGATATTTATCGTAAATGTTACCTGTGTCAAAATAGAAGCACTTATCTATTTTATTTTTTTGGTGTTAAGGTGACCTCTTGGTCGGGTCTTTTTTATTTAGTTACTGATTAACTTTTTACTATACGCTAAGCCTCTCTTGGTGCCCGTATAGTATACATATTTTTGGAGGATATATACTAGCCACACGTACAACTTTTGATTGTCTATTTAAGTAGTCTGTTTATTACTAAGTTCTATACTAGATGCTATACCTATAACCCAACTAGGGGTTTATCTATTTAAACCCTCTGCGCCATATATAAGTCACTCTATATATAACCGAATTGGGTATATTTCTTAAGAATCTTGATTTAGGACTTTAAAGCAGGCTCGACCAGCAAACCCTTTGTTCTTGAGATAAATTTGCTAGAGCTAACTGTACCTACAATTTGGCTAGCCTAGGCTTTAGTAACTTATATCCGAGTTCAAGAACAAGGACTTGCGAGCCAAAGCCACTACTATTATCTACTTCTGCCCTTATAAAGTTCACTCAAACCTTGATACACATATTACAGACTGTCTATGATATCCCCAGCTATTCCAAACTACCAATCCAGATGGCCCGGAAGGGCTATAACCTGCTTTTGGTCCCCACGTTGGGTCCTTTTTCTCTGGTTACTCCTCTGGCAGTCTGGTTAGTAGAGTGTCTTGCCAAATACTCAGTTCCATTCGGTTTTTGCCAGTTCTTCTGATGATAATCTTTTACATAATACTGTTAAAGATCTGTGTTACTTCTCTATTCAGGACTTGCTAAGTAAGCGCCGTACTGCCGTATCGGCTCTATGGCTTTCTGTGATCCAAAAATTATTTGTGTAACTCATATATCACACAAAGGCCTCGAGATCTTTCAGTTCTAATAAATTGGTATGACCACAGTTACAGGATCTCGAGTTTTTCTGGTCATGGCAATACTTGCCGAATCTGTTTTTCGAAATTTAATTTTTGTCTTTAATAGGAATTGATCTTGTACTCAACTACTTGAGGGTACGACAACTTCACCACTTCACTAAGTCACCACACCTTTCTTACTTTATATTATTTGTTTAATTTAAATTTTAAATTTTATATATTTTCAAACTATCATTTTTTGATATAAGGCAGATATAATGATAATTATATTATATATATTTATATGAAAAATTATAGATGGCGACTTATCACCATAGCGATTCCATATGATCGACCAATCACATTAATGATTGATTGATTATGTAAGAATGTGCCATTTTACCAGTCCGGAGTTCTGTTTTAGATTTAGATTAGATCTAGATTTGTTTTTTTTTCGGTAATTTATTTATTTTTTTTATTTTTTTTTTTCATTTCGTGATCTTTAAATTTTCTTTAGGCTGCTTTAGATAAGTATTGACCAGTTTTTTTTTTTTTCTTTTTTATTACCATCACTAACTTCTCTCTTTTTTTTTTAGGTATTATATTTGAAATCGGCTTCGTAAAAATACTACTTCGACTAATCAGCTTGGTTCTGAAGACCGAAAAGTGTTAGCAGTGGCACTATGCGAGAATACTGCCTTATCTTCTTTAAATCTTGCTGGGGTTGAGATGCAAAATAGGACTGGGTTGGGGCTGATCTTTAGATAAGTACCAGCCTTTTTTTTTTTTGCTGATTGGTTTTTTTTTTTACTGGTGCTAATTTTTTTCCCTTTAGATATTTCTTCGTTTGAAACCAGGAGCTGAGAATGCAAAATGGAACTGGGCTAGAGTACCAGTGTTTTTTTTTTTGCTAGTTTTTTTTTTTTTGTTGGTTTGGTTTTTTTTACAGATACTAACTTCTTTCTTTCTTTAGGTGCTTCTTCATTTGTTATTAGGGGAAATAGGTGCCAAGCTTTGCTTTTACGACTTCGTTGCGTTGTTTCAGATAAGTACTACAAAATGAGGCTGGGACCGGTCTTTGAATAAGTATCAGACCGGTTTTTTTTTTTACTATTTTGTTTTTTTGTTACGTGTATTAACTTCTCTTTTTCTTTAGGTATTTCTCGTTTTTTGCATCTGTGCTTGGTGCTTTCTTGCGTTGTGCTTTGGTGCTTCTTGTGTGTTTTGGTGTTTTCTTGCATCTGTGCTTCAGTGCTTTTTACTTCTCTGCTTTGGTGCTTTCTTGCTTCTCTGCTTCAGTGCTTTCTTGCTTCTCTGCTTCAGTGCATTCTTACGTACTTTGGTGCTTTCTTGCATCTGTGCTTTGGTGCTTTCTTGCATCTGTGCTTCAGCACTTTCTTGCTTCTCTGCTTTGGTGCTTCTTGCTTCTCTGCTTCGGTGCTTCTTGCTTCTCTGCTTTGGTGCTTCTTGCGTGCTTTGGTGCTTTCTTGCATCTGTACTTTAGTGCTTTTTGCTTCTTTGCTTCAATGCTTTCTTGCTTCTCTGCTTCAGTGCTTTCTTGCTTCTCTGTTTCAGTACATTCTTGTGTACTTTGGTGCTTTCTTGCTTCTGTGCTTCTGTGCTTCTTGCTTCTCTACTTTGGTACTTCTTGCGTGCTTTGGTGCTTTCTTGCGTCTGTGTTTCAGTACTTTTTGCTTCTCTGCTTCAGTGCTTTCTTGCTTCTCTGCTTCGGTGCTTTTTGCTTCTCTGCTTCAGTGCTTTCTTGCTTCTCTGCTTTAGTGTATTCTTGTATACTTTGGTGCTTTCTTGCGTACTTTGGTGCTTTCTTGCATCTGTGCTTTGGTGCTTTCTTGTATCTGTACTTTGGTACTTCTTGCTTCTCTGCTTCAGTACTTTTTACTTCTCTGCTTTGGTATTTTCTGCATACTTTGGTGCTTTCTTATGTCTGTTTTTTGGTGCTTTTTGCTTTTCTGCTTCGGTGCTTTCTTGTTTCTCTGCTTCAGTGCTTTCTTGCTTCTCTGCTTTAGTGCATTCTTGTGTACTTTGGTGCTTTCTTGCATCTGTGCTTCGGAACTTTCTTGCTTCTCTGCTTCGGTGCTTTTTGCTTCTCTGCTTCAGTGCTTCTTGTATCTTAATATTGGTGATTTTGTAGTTTTGATTAGGATTTTTTTTTTTTAAATAAAGTGCAAAGTTGGCACCAGATATATAGAGGTTATAATATCATTATGCAGTAATACCGTTTAACAAAAATAAAATTAAATTGATGTATTGTTGATTTTTTTTTAAAAAAATAAAAATTTCGGGGTTTCTCAATAATAGATTTGCTCTTTTTTTTTGTTATTCATTTTGTTATGTGATATTTTCGGGTGGTTGACTGATCAAAATTAGTCTCGTGGGTCACGTGTTTACCGATTTGCTCTTTGTAAATCGGTGGTCACATGACTCACGTGATCAATTTTGATTGGTTGATCGTGGGTCACCATGGCGATGGGTCATCATAAAATAATACTCTATTTATATTTTCTTTTTTTTTAAATTTAATATATTATTATTATATAGGTCTATAATATTAGACAGATATTAGGCAGATATTATATTGATTTTATTAATTTAATTTTATAATATTATTTTTATATTATTCTATTATATTAAAAAATTTTACTTTGTATATCTTCTTTAATATTATATATATTATAACAATATCTGTCTATAAAAATAAAATACTAAACAAATTATCAAAACATCAGCTTAAATTAAATTTAATAAAATAAATTTATACTGATATAATTATAATATAATATATTTAATAAAAATATTATATCAATTTTATATATCATTATATATTAGCCTATATTTTCGATTAAAAATAATAACTAATAAATTGTATAGATATTTTAAGAAAATATATAATATCATATTTATATCAGTATAAATAAATAATATATCTGCTATAATTTGATTTATGAATAAAAGTTTATTATTTGATATATTATCTTTTAATAATATATATAATCTTTTTTTTTTTTTTTAACGTCTTCCCTCTTGGGGGCTAGGTTTTTTTTTTCAAGTATATATAGCAAGGAGTTCTCT